CTTATTCTTTTCTAGCAGTATCACTGTTCGTGGCGAACAACCAGCGATTCTACTCAATGTACGTTCGAAGTCAGCCTTCTCGGTAATTGGATCCAGATCCCAGATTTCGAGCATTACCTTTTTCTCGTCTGTTTTAACAGATCATAGCCCTTAACGGTCTTAGCTACACTGCTAATCGGAGTCTCTCTGTTCTTTACTCGTTCAACTTTGAGAGGACGGTCTTCTTTTTTAGTTGTAGTGACTCATTTAACTGTGATCTCGCCTTCCAGTTTATAATCAATCCTTATTTTCTTTAGGACGTCGGCAAAGCTCTACCCTTCCGCGATCTTAACGAGAATTTTCTCCTTCTTTTTGATGGCATTATTTCGTTTGCCGCTATCACTGCCATTAATTATTATCTTGGGGATAAGCTCTTGATTTTCCCGGGTCTTTTTTCTTTTTTTAGGAGGGGGGTTAGGAGTTTCCGTTGGAGCTGTCAGGCTCCTGTTTCGCTTGCCTGTGAGCACGCTTTTTACGGATCTAGATTAAATAGAGCGTGTGATTCTCTTCCTTTTTTCTGATCTGTACATCTTTTGCATCAGATTATCTTTCGTTTGTTCCAGGAGGTTTTCCATTTTCTTTCTAAACTCTTCACGGCTATCCTTGAACTTATATAGAATGTTCAACGCAACTGTCATACTTTTTGTTACCGGCATTGTTGTTCTTGTGTACGTCGGTGTTACTACTTCTAGTACTTAGCAGCCTGTATCTTCCATGATTGGGCAGGAATGTAAGGCCCTTCTAATAGTGTTTTTTATCAGAGGTTCTCTCCTTGCCTTCTTTCTGGACGCCTTTGTAGCCTTACCCAGAATCCACGAGGCTAACACCAGTCACCCGGGCTTTCACCATGTCGGAACTGGTGGTGGATTTTCTCAAAGAGAGTACTTATTTGTTTTTCTGTTTTTTAATCAATTTTATTGGGTTAATTTTATCATCACTGTATAGAAAAGGTGAAGGTTTAACTGGTCTGCTTTTTACCATAATTGCATTTAATCGATTAAATGACGATTTTAGACTCATCACGTGAAGTTCGTAATCTGTATCGATTAAATTTACCGCAACAGGACCTAGAGTGCATATTTGCTGTAGAACTATTTTCTCTAATTTGATTGTGTTAACTTAATTTATTTGCATGCTGTTGATTAATGCTTTATAACTAATTAAATTCACTTCCACATCTAAATCTAGTATAAACATTTCTGTAAGTTTAGGAAATATTCCGCAACGTAACCTAATTGCTGGTGATTTTCCTATTGTTCTTGCTCGAAAGGCTCTGTAGATTTTATTTCCATAATTGATGTCAGACACGTGATCGGATTCAAACTCGTAGTCACGTCCAAACGGCGAGTATTGTTCCCGTTTTTTGGAGAGTTAGGACGAGAGTCTTGGTATCGTACTTGATTATAATTTTGATTTTGCTTTTAGTTGTGGTACTGAAAAGGGGCTTTTTAAAGGTAAGGATAGCCTTGAGTGTGAGGATGAGTTTAATACATTTGTGGGTAGGGAGGTGGATAAAACGGTGGTGGTTGATAATATGAAAATTCTTGGAAATTTTGAGGTCAGTAATAGTGACTTGGTTAATTACTTTACGGTGATGATGGTGTACGACTTGTTGGTAGAGTACTTGACCGACGTTGAGGTGCGTAGGTAAGTGTGGGATGTACAATTTTTTAACTATACTCGTCGAATTTTGGTTGAGCCATCTTGACATCGTTTTTATCGTAAATATGCGGGAAAGAATTTCTATTATGGGTCAATGGGTTATTGAAACTGAACTTTTTTCTGGTTATTAAACTGAGTAGGAACAGAAACAGGAATTTGGGTAACATTCACTACCGAAGACTTAAGAGTCGTAAAAGTAGAGGTCGTGGGTATGACTTTGTTAACGTACTTGGCCTGATTGAACACTGGTGGGCACGTACATTCAGTAAGTAATGCAGCTTCTAAAGCTTTGTAAATATATCCTTAGGTTTCGAAAATGCTACACTTAATCTCCACGAATCAGGTAAAACGTTCATTAACGTTACCCCAAAGTAATTTCTGTAACAGAAATTATTCTATAATTAAAATTTTAAACTGTTTCATTTTATTTTATTCTAGTATTTAAAAGTTCTGCAATGTATTCTTAATATGATTTGGTTGGCGAAAATTCTTGTTTTAAATGTTTTTGCAACTGATCAATAAATGCAAAAGTAAAACCTATTAAACTCTCTCGAGCTTCATCTTTGAGTGTAGAAATAACTGTATGGAGGTATATAGGTTCTTGTGCAGCTGTTATTAAAGTTAGTCCAGTTTCTACGTCTTTTAAAAAGTCTTTTAAGGGAGTTGAGTTTCCGTCACGAGAGAGTATGTGTGAGATGCTTGATTTATGCACATACATGAATAAGTTGCATTTAATCCTTGTGAAACATTAAAAAATTGTTGTGAAATAGAGTCGTTCACTGACGAGATTCCGCCAGTATTTCTGGGCATTTTTAAAAATTTATTTATCATGTATGCTTTATTTGAATGGTTTTTTAAATTTTTTATTTATTAATTTTTTTCGAACAAAACTAAGATTTAAAGAACACACAAGGGATGCCAATTTGTTATAACCTATGACCAGACTTTTTTAGAGTATGGTCTTAACCGTTTTATTTTAGTGTCATTAGTGGGTTTCTTAGGGTTCAGCTCATAAGGTTTATTTAATCTTTTGAGTTGGGTAAAAATTTTTATTGAAATGATATGGATAATTTTAATAATTGTATTGTTTTATTAAAATGGTATAAAATAGTTATTTTTTTAAATATAGTTTACTTAGGTCACTTTAACAAGGCTTGGTATTAATTATATTACTGATAAATAACTTACATCTATCACTAATTGTTGTTACTGCTGCTTCGGAGTTCCCTAATGCTTCGTGCAGTAATTTCCAGTGTTTCTTTAAACTACACGAAGGAGTTCGTGGCTAGTAAGATGTTGCGGTTTCTGCTTTCTCTGCTATCACTGGAACCACTTTTGGCGGTCCTTTTTCGCTGTATCTCGCTTCTTGGCGTAGTCTGATACTATTGATGTCTTCAAACAGCACCCAAGTTGCCTCAGCCAACCCGTTATGCATTACTTGTATAAATAAGGTAGTCGCGAGTCGCGGGAGTCAAGAGTTTACTAAATCTTTAGAGGACGGATGACAGACTTAAAAAAATTAATTTGTTCTCTTGATTGTGCGTTTTTCTAGTGTTAGAGCGGGTAAAAAAGGCCTTTGGTTGAATTAGATCAAATGATGAGCGATATTCTTGCAACTGCGTTGACAGCAAAACAATTTCCAGACTCTAGTGTTATAGCTAATCAAATAGAAAAAAATAACTTTCGGCAACATTTTTGTATGACCACTGTAAATTGAAATATTTGTCGAAATACGTCAAAAAAAACGGCATTTTCGGGAAAAATTTCAGTTTTTTAGTTCCTGTATATTTCTCATGCGAAATTAAGTTGGTTGAACCCCTACATATTGTTTGTAATGATATTTCAAAATTATTCCAATATTTAATTCGATCACATCAAGACAAAACGAAAGCTTCTTGGTTTTAAGGACACAAGGACTGGGCTGTTTAATGGCCTTAAAGTGAAGCTCCATTGTTTTGACATTTTAATTCTAAAGAATATGAATGTTTTACGACTAAAGCCTCTGAATTGTCATGTTATTTGTTAAGAAAAGTTATTCAGTTTTGAAAGCGGAAGAGTTTTTTAATAAAATTTGAAGAAAATCATGGTAAAGTAGTAATTGAATTTGTAGGTTGCACAATTACAAAGATACAACGAATTTACTAAAAAAATAAAGTAACTGCTCAATTTCTAAAAAGTTTCTAAAAATATCAGAATCTAATAAGATTCGAGGATTGCCATGTAAAGCGTGCAGAAGGTAGAGCCCCATAGTAGAGACAAATATTATTATTTTTTTTTTTTTATTCGTGCCACCCCTGTCAGCAGTGCTGCTCCTTAAATATAGCACTGATAGAAAAGATAATAATACACTCTTGGAAGGAAAGTTGAGTTTGCCCCTGCTAGTGTCTAGACACAAATTTTACCTTTAAAACAGCATATACTTCAAGCTAGTCTCCTGCATTTGTCTACACAGCTACTAACCAACTGTAATATTTCTGTGCTTGCATCCCTTTCCTTTTTTAAAATGAAAGACCTGACAACAAATAAAAATCATATTTCAAGCATTCTGCAGTAGGAGCCAAAAATATAGAAACGGCATAGAATGCATATGCAAAAAACTAAAAGAAAACAATATTTATTACTGGCTTGCTGTTGTGGCAAAATTTTTCAGATAAGACTAAGACATAACTTAGCTGTTAATTAAATTTGCTTTAATTCTTACTTTGATAAATAAATAGAATATCAAGGAAAATTTAAACAGACAACGTATGACAAAGACTTTTAAGAGGACGTGAGATAGAAAGACGAATAAGATACGTTACTATTGCATTATATAAAATATAAATTTAAAGAGTAGGTTAACGCCAGCTCGCATAGAACACACTAACACTACTGCACACATATTTAGTAAAACTTGACACCACAATGCCGAGTCAACAATTTAAGAGAAAAGTATATTGTAAGTAAGAGCAAATAAGGCCTTTGGTCCGACGGCTGGTTCCTGACGAATAAAAATTGAATTTATTTGTTAGTAGAACGAATCTACGAGGTCTGCCCTTCATTTATAGAGGTTCGGACGTAACACTAATATTACACTGTAAACGTTAGCGTTTATAATGATTTTAATTCGTGGCACTCGTTACGAAGGTTCGGTCGTTAAGGTACAGACAATAACATGGTTTTTTTAAAAATAAACTTTCCCAAAAAACTGTGTTTTCTGGCTCTTTGATTACGTTACAATATAATATTGCTCAATTTTATTAGCCATTTTTAAAAGCAACAAAAATAATTTTATTTGTACACTTGTACGAAAACACTTATAATATATGAATACAGTCTTTCAACTATAATTATAGCATCTGCTACGAAGTATACATATATACTGTGTGGTCGCGGTGGCGCCACGGCAGAGTTACAGTTCCGTCGATCTCCGAGGTTAAGCTGCATTCGGCGCGGTCAGTCCTTGGATGAGTGACTGTCTGATAACCATTCAAGTCTCGCCGTTTCGCACGTGCTCTTGATTCTCGAGGGTCGATTAACTGTTTCTCTTTCGCTTCGACATCGTGACCATAGGTTTGACTGTAAGTTGATCCAGATGTTTATATGCGGATAAACATTTGGTCATAACTTAGGTGCACCGATGGCTGAAAAAAACTATTCTTGTGTAAAAAAAGCCATATCTGAGCCTACGGGCGATGATAAACAATAAAAAAAATACATGTATGCTGTTACCTTTGCTTGGAGTAGAGCTAGTTTATTGAGGATACATGCTAAAGAGGGCCTTTCGCGCGATACGTTATTATGCCACAGCAGGTCCAGTATAGGATACCCACTGAGGGTTTCTGGAACAAAGAAGATACCTTTAATAAATTTCTAATCGGGTGTACATTAATATTAGTATTATAAAATATTCGTGTGATAAAAAAATGGCAAAATCAAGTGTAAATGACATTAACAAACAAGTTGTAAACTATATACTCTTTTTTAAGGATAACGAGTGGTTTAACAATAAATTGGGTGTACAGGTTGTAGATCTTTTTCAAGCCGAAAAAATTTGATTGTATTTATTGTTAATAACTACTTTAAATAAAAAAATTACAGTTTATAAAGTAAAGATTTAAGACAGCTAATAAATCTTATTATTAAAATTTATTGCTTACAAGTTATCATGAAAACTTCCTAATACTTATTATTATTTAATTTTTTTTATTCACAAGATCTATGAGTACAAGTGCTACAAATATTATTATACTTTATTTTTTTATTATTTTTTTATGTTATGTGTAGTTAATACAATAGTAAAAATACGGTAGTAAAAATATTAAGGTACTATTAGTTTTCGATAAATCTCAAAAGTCAAATATTGAATAGTGATAATTAACAATAAGAGTTCCTTTTAATAAACTGTTTTTCCCTATGTTGCTTTATGAATCACATTTATGACAAAAAAAAAATGCTCTAGAAGACTTCTCTATCGAATCCCATGCCCACTTTAAAGTGTAATTATTAATGAAAAGAAGATTATTAGTGTAGGAAGTGTAAATTTTTTTTTAATCAGCGAAATATTAACCAAAGTATTTCCAAAAACTTCCACTCACTAACTCTCTTTTTATCATTAAAAATTATGATAACTGACCATAAGAAATAATAATACTTTTAAAGGGGGCTGTGTCATATATGTCCTAAAATATGTACGTTATATCGTATAAATGAAGGTTCACGGAATCCAATACTAATTTAATTTATGTTCCAAATCGCTCAAAATCTTGTAGGAAAACGAATCGTTTCAATCTACCGTACGCCAAGTTTCTTGGGCATATAAAATAAAGGTATAAAAAAATTTAATAATTAAATAGTCTCAATATTATTTGTGAAATAAAAAACTTTAGTTCAAAACATATTTACCGAAATATATAATATTAGAAAACATTCATTGAATGCGCTGAGCACACCTGATCTGTCTAGTATAATAAATAATATATGACGATCGTCTGCGTGAATTTCTTACAGTGGAAGTTTTAATGCTTAGAGTACTCACAGTACTAACAGTCGACAGTAAGGCTGCATTTACACGTACACGGAATAACACCTTGCAGAATCAGAATAGCCTATAACCCACAGTAGGAGGAAGAGGGAGGTTTTTTTCGGCAGCAAAAAATGAACGTATACTTACTAACGAAGCCTGACTTTAGCAGAACTAGCACTCAGTACACCATCAAGAAAGTGAAAGGAAAAAGTCATCACTCACATCACATATACAACAGGACACAACACACTAAACACCAACACCGTCTCTCTCTCTTTCTCTCTACGAGTAGATAGCTCGAGAAGGCCTTGCATAGAAAAGGGGAACGAAGAAAACAGTGCTAAAGAATCAGAGCTTAGGCATTTGGCCGTAGTGGTGCTTGGCGTTACCTGCATCGCTACTACAATTCGGATGACGGATCAAACTGTCCCTTACCATTGCCACTACCACCATTGTTGCCACCTCCTTCTCTATCAGGCCCTACAACGCCGTGGCATTATTGTACCAATGTGAGCATGCTGCGTTGGACAGTACAGATATACAACTTGGAAGACGAAGACAGACACCCTCATTTAACTTTGTTAGGTACGTATTTGACTGCTGTCTACAGTGCGGAAAATTTTACGATCGGTTTGATACGGAACTTTTGTGCTTACCGATTGCCATGCGAAAGTTCTTGTTTGTTCGAACTTACGAGTGAAAGTGAACCATTAGTGTCTTAGATTGACAAAGCAACTACACGCCAGTGAGCAAAAAAGTAATGATGTGCATGGAGACGCCCTCCATTGGATCGATCAGCAACAAGTACTGGAATTACAGTCAACAATGCTCACACTTCATATAAAAGTTTTCGCTTATTAAAGTACGCTATTTTATATTAAGTGAGTGCTCAAAAAATCAAGATTGAAGCAATGACCAACCAACATCATTGGAGGAGCTTTCAGGTAAATCCAGAAATCAAGAAAGCAGGAATCTGTCCTCCACAGTCCGAGAGGTTGACTACAAGAAGACAAGCACTCTTTCAAATTACCAAGGTTGTTATGTAAAGATATATGTTATATTTATAACCATATTACATATTCATCCTTTTATATGGGTACCCGTTGGCTGCTGTATCCCACCCTCGTTAAAATATATTTGTGTATATTTTTTATTAGACTTTGCGCTTCTAGAGTCTAAGTTCTCGAGAGTTTCTTAAAAACTTTACTATGAACAGTTTCTTACTTTTTTTTAATCAAGGCAGAAAATCATAGATGCAGAGAATGACAGACCTATAACATTCAATCTTTAACTTTCATCAGACGCATTAAAGCACACAATTAGATTTCAGTTCTATCCATGCTCGTACGCTCAAAGAAAATAATAGGGGGGAGAAGTATAGTGTGTTTGATTTACACCATTTATTCTTGTGTCATTGGTCGTTTTTTTCATCCTACTTTCAACATATATGTAGATGAAGTACTAGTGTGAGCATAATTTTTTTAAGTATTCACAGTTATCGTACTATCAGTAAACGAAGGACGTAAAGGGTGCGCGATTTTCATTATTTATTTACGTATCGTTTGCAGATCGTTTCTTTACTCTTTATATGTACAATACATGTACAAAGTATTAGTGTGTATACAACTGTATATTATAAAACAAGAACATAATCATACAAACAGAAAACGATTCGTAAAAGAACGATATAAATCGAACGCATCTTCCTTCCACACGTTGTTTTGTATTTTTTTTTTAGTGTTTTTTTTGAAAACGTTAGAACGTATACATTATACTTGTATTCTTTCAAATCATCTGCACCATGACTTTTCCATAAATAATCAGGCTTAGCCCCATGGCATACTATAAAAACTAATGGAATCGTTAATTGGAATAAAAAGATACAAGAGAAAGGAAACGATTTTTGATTTCTTTTGTTTCATATTCTTCACACATGACTGTACGAAGCGGGATGGCAGTTTCTTATTTCAGTAAAGTATATATGTGATAAAAAACACTTTATTGCACAAAAAAGTCATATTTTATAGAATGAATGTACGTTTCAACAACCCAGAGATTAAAAAAAAAAAAATTGAAAACAAAGAAAAATAAGGTGGAGTAAAAGATTTTAAGTAATGTTTTGAATATTATTGTCTGGAAAAAGACAGTGTATCTTATTATTGTGAGATTAACCAAATATATCACATACTATAACCAATGGTACTAAAACCATAGAAATATTACTATTTCAGCATAAAATAAGCATTATTATACTTAAAAATTTGTAATGGCTGATTCCTGCGATTTTGTGCAATTATTCAAGTGCTAAAGCCAACTCTAATACTATATTTTTGTTCGTTGACTGAGTTTCTAGTAGTAGCATGTTGCCTCATGAATATAAGAATTTATAAATGATATACGGTATATGTTTAAAAAATATTGTAATTCTTAGTACTGTTACAACTTGAAAATGTACGGAAAACAGTTTTTTTCTTATTTCTTAAAATGGTTTTTAAAAACTTGCAACGCTTTGTAATTAATGATTTTAATTGCAATATTATTATATTTATTTCAACAATACAGTACAAGACAAGATTATATTATTACATTAAAAAAATTTATCATCAGCCATCATTAGTTCCATGCAATAGGATAATTTGTTATGAAATAATTATTAATTCCAAGTTATATTTTATGATTCGAGAAAATTTCATGCTAGAATAGATTTAGAAAAATATTTCTTAGAAACAAGAATATTGATTTGCTTGTACAGTAACTATAGTATGAATCCAACATCATGTTTTTACTTGAAGTTCAAAAAATATTTACATCTTGCAAAATACTGTCTTAATTGTTGAAACATATAAATATTTAACATGAAGTGTTTTTCCACGTGTATAAACATATACTATTTTTGTATCTTATTGTACGCTAAAATGATCTTACCAGCCGCAAATGCTTAAGTATGTATGTATATATACACAAAATTGTATATTTAAAAAAAATTTTTCACATTCTGGACAAAGTACTTACCGAAAATTGTTAAATAAAGTACTTAATTTAAAACTTAATTTTTTTATCAACAAGGAAACGTTTACTGGTTAATAATACAGTATCAATAAGTAAGATATCTGTTTACTTTCCTAGACAACTTTTTGTATTAGTACATAAAAGATGTATACATTGTAATATATAAACAAACGTATGCTTACTTCAAAACTACATTTTTTTTGCAATAAATATTAGTCCATTGCCTGGGGACAAAAAAAAAGTACGATTTAATCTTATGTTTTCCAGTAGAGAAAAAATCAGTTGTTCCCCTACGTAATTTTTCCCGGAATACAGAGAAAAAAGTTTTGTCCAAATCAGAAGTGAGCTTCAATTATTTATTAAACAATGTATGAACAAATGCCAATTTTTTATTTAGTTTTTTGCTTACATATCTCTGCTTTTACTATTCTAAAAGACATTTTAATGGCCTGGACGAAGAAAAGCTTAGCTCAGATTTCTCCATGTTATTTTGAATGGAAAAATTTTTACGGCCACCCATCTCTTCGTCATCAAATTTTCTATAAAATGTATACTTTTGCAAATCCACTATTTATTGTTAATAACATACATCAAGAAAGCGAAAAAAAAAAAATTTATCATACCGAAAAACTCTCAATCGGCGCAGAAAAAAACTATTATGTCAATTTGAATGTAATCGTAAGAAAATATAAATGTTAAGATGCAAAACAAAAAGCTGTTTGTGGAACTGCAAGATAATTTAGTTTTATGTTAATTGATTTTTTAAAGTAAAACTTTAAAATGTTATTACAAACTTTATAGTCGGCTTATCGACATTTCGTTTCAGAAAAAACATTGTATTTGATGTTAATATTGGTAAAAGACAAAAAAAATTTATTTTCGTAAATTTTGACGTTTTCTCCTGAAAAATTTTATGTTGCAACTTTAACAATTGCAAATATCTCAGTCAATTTTGCAAATATCTTTTTCCAACTAATGGCATTGTCTTAGTCATAAATAAAATACAAATCCTCAAAAAAAAAAGAATGCTCTAGCTTACTCTAAAGCCGAGATATAGGAAATTAACGTTCTTTGCAATAACAGACTAACAATTAAGTTTTTTATAGCGAAAAAATTTGTGTATCATCTTCATAAACATCTACATCACGTTGTTGAAGTACTTTATCAATTATATTGAAAGGAAATCTAAAAGAAAATCAAGAAAGTCGCATTGTACCAGCTGGCGGCCGCTCTGCGATGCCCTCTGTAACCCTCTCTTGCGACTATAGGTAGTCGACCGGTTGCAGTGCACATGGGGAAAAATACATGCTGTGGCTAATGTTAAAATTAAGTTGATGTACATAATCTTACAGTTACAAACATAGTGTAATAATATAGTTGCATAACATGCTCAATTAACAAATTAAACACTCAAAACTAACTGTAATAAGAATTATACTTATTTAAATATTTGTGTACATTAATTCTTAACTTTTTTTGATACATTATAATTTAACTTTTAAGGTGATCTACTTTTACAATAACTATTATATGTTTGCACCATTTATTATATAATACATACAGTCATTACCAGCTACAAACTCTAGCATTACATCAGTATCAGTTCCTCCGTCCATTCTGTCCAATATTTCGTTCCTGGTTAAAAGTATTTAAACGTGTTGTATATGTACAAATTTTATTTCTCAATCATAGCTTTAACGTGCTCGACATTAGGGAAATTTTTTTTGAGCATTATTTACACATTTCTGTAAAAGTTACACCATTTTTAAAAAAAGTGCATGAAGAAAAAAATTACCAAGTCTAGTTTGAAGTGTCAGTGCATTAGAACAATAAAAAGTTGTACTTTCAGTTCATAATTTTTTTCCTGTAATACAATCAAAGTATACAAGATTAAGAAAAAATCAATGCAAAGATAAAATGCGTATAAGAACTACGTAACAAATTCGTTTAATACAATAAACTAAGTATGCATGTGACTGTTTAATTATATAAAACAACTTTCCTGGTCGAAAATTACTACATAAACTGGCTAGAAACTCGTCAACGTACATGTGTCAATGAGCTTATAACATGTTGACGAGTTTCCAGCCAGTTTATGTAGTAACGTTTCTACTAGGGTTATTTAAATTTAAATTCCAACTGCAAGCTAAATTTCAAGAACTAAATTTTAATGTATCAAAAAAGGTAAAATTGAATGTTCACGAAAATTTAA